GGTTTGGGGGGGGTTTGGGGAGATTTTGGGGGGATTTGGGAGAAATGTGAGGGAAATTGGGGAAATTTCAAGGGGATTTGGGGGGGTTTGGGGGAAGTTCAAAGGAAATTGGGGCAATTTGGGGGAAATTAGGGGGGATTTGGGGTAAATTTATGGGGGATTTTGGTGGGGATTTGGGGAAAATTTGGAGCAATTTGGGGGAAATTGGGGGGATTTAGGGGAGATTTGGGGCAAATTTTGGGAGATTTTGGGTAAATTTGTGGGGATTTGGGGGAAATTTGGGGTGGATTTGGGGGAAATTCATGAGGATTTAGGGTAAAATTCAGGGATTTGGGGTAAATGTGTGGGGATTTGGGTCAAATCCAGGGCAAATTTTGGGGGATTTGGGGTAAATTTGTAAATGTTTGAGTCAAATTTGGGAGGATTTGGGGTAAATTTGTGAAATTTTGGGTCAAATTCAGGGGAAATTCATGGGGATTTGGGGTAAATTTGGGGTGGATTGGTGGGGATTTGGGGTAAATTTGGGGTAAATTTGTGAGGATTTGGGGTAAAGTCGTGGGGATTTGGGGTGAATTCATGGGGATTTGGAGCAAATTTGGGGATTTGGGGTAAATTTGTGGTAAATTTGTGAGGATTTGGGGCAAATTTGGGGGGATTTGGGGAAAAATTCAGGGCAAATTTGGGGGGATTTGGAGCAAATTTAGGGGAATTGGGGTAAATTTTTGAGGATTTGGGGTGAATTTGGAGTGAATTGGTGGGGATTTGGGTTAAATTGGTGGGGATTTGGGGTGAATTTGGGGTAAATTGGTGGGGATTGGGGGTGAATTGGTGGGGATTTGGGGTGAATTTGGGGTAAATTCATGGGGATTTGGGGTGAATTGGTGGGGATTTGGGGTGAATTTGGGGTGAATTGGTGGGGCCCCAAAAACCCCAAACCCCCCCAAAATAAACCCCCCAAAGACCCCTCCTCACTCTCCAATCTTCTGCAGATCCCCCCCTCGGCCGGTGTAGAGCGTCAGGCAGCCCTTGAAGACGGAGGCGTAGCTGAGGATGAGGAGGATGAGGAGGGGGGGCGGGCGTCCCCGAGTGTCCCCGAGTGTCCCCGGGGGTCCCCGGGGGTCCCCAGTACCCCTTGGTGAGGCGGATGATGTCCCCAGGCTGGATGAGGTTGCCCACATCGTCCCACACGGAGATGTTGATGCTGCCGGTCTTGTCGGCCACTTTGCACGTCCTGACCTCGTGGCCGTCCTTGGTCTTGGTCACCCGGCCTGAGGGGACAGCGGGGACAGCAGGGGACAGCGGGGGTCAG